CCCCCCCCCCCCCCACACACTGTCGATTCTTCTTGACAGATATCTATCTATTAAGCAATTAAAGGTAGATCGAACAATTTTCTTACTTCAGCAGAGTCCTCATATGGATTTAAAAAGCTTGTTAAATTCTGGATTAAATCGCTGTCGCTTTTGGACAACATTTTAAACAATCTTCTCTCATTTAATCAATCCTCCTCATCATAAACAATCCTCCAATAATCCTTTTATTTCGGAAGGACCATTGGAAGACTATATGTTAACATGAGACATAAAGTCTTAATATATATAAAAGATCTGGTAAACGGAGAAGAAAATGTCCAGATAGAAATAACGCTGTTTTATTACGTATTACTGTTGCGGTATATTTGTTAATATCTTCAAGTATGCAGGAGATATATCGATGAACTTTGTTCGGGCTGTTCAAGCAGCGTGTGACATAGCAAATATTTATGTTTCAATTGAAAGCATTGATTACGATTGCAAAGGGCGCAATTGATGTTTCCAGAGATAATAATCGCCCCCGAAATGGTTAACGACATCAGGCTATACAAAACCGAACTACCTTCGGTATCCAGTTTCTTGCGGTCCGCTGAATATTATGATTTTTCTGTCGCCGTCGTTGACGATGGCTGCGACGCGACGCGACGCCCGGCGTCTCTGGCTTCCGTCTGGAACGTCATGCGAGCTCTTATTAAAGGTGGCGATTTATCGCTAGTAATAACGGTGTGGTCTGGTGTGCCGCTCGACGGCGAATGTCTCCCGAAGGCGAAGCTTTCCTAGGGGAATGGAATAACGCTGGCGAAGGGTTCCAGGCACCTAAGGTCGAATCCACACTTACCCTTCAGTTACCCAATGTTAACCGTAGTCTACTTCAACAAGAAAACAATTCCCATGCTGTAAGAAGCGTTTTTGTAGCTGCACGCCCCCCCCCCCTAGAATCGATCTAAACATCCAGACACAGGAGTAACAGGGTTCAAATGAACAACTATGGAGACCGTCATGACGCTTCCGAAAAGCAGGCTATTTTTTTCAATTTTCGTATCTACTGGCAGAAGCTTCAGAAGAATTGTGCCAAAGTATACGATCGTGAATTTTAACTTTTATTGCCTTTTGTGAAGGTACAGTTCAGTACCGTAGACACTTAATACGACCATCAAGGTA